ATATTGTAAAGAAGCTTAGTATAGAAGAGCCACTTGATAGTGCTTAGATTTTGAATAAATGAAATAAATTATATAAAAGCCCACTGAATTTCCACAAACTATATACATGAGCTACCAACATAAGTTAATATTAAAAGGTGTGAAAATAAACTTTTAATAGACAGATGTTTTCTACCAAATTCACTACAGGATAAGACAGTCATTATAAACAAAATGGAGCTTGAAAATAAATGACCTGAATAAGTAAGTAAATTCAAACATTTTAAAATGTAAAGTTCTTACAATATACTTGCACTAAATCAAATATAATACCAAAAGTAATTAATAACATGGATTTAAAATATGCTCATATCAAGGAAGGACAATCAAAGGAATCAAATTGGATCATTTCTATATCTATGTGTAGAATTTGTTGAATTAACTCAAGGGTATGATGCAAATGATTTTTGTACCCTAAATGATCATTGATGTGATAAAAGATCTATGCAAGGTTAACACATCTGTAACTAATATAATTGAGATCCTGAAAAAAAGTGCAGAAAAATTCAAGGGATCAAAGTGCAACCTCGGGCAACTTACCGTACAGGGTGGTTGAAGCCATGGCTCGCCATCAATTTGCATAGGTAACCGTTTCCTTGTGCGTATAGTGACGGTGGAACACTGAGCAAGACGGCGCCCAGATGAACGGATCCCCGCTTTGACTTGACCTACGTGAAGTGAACTATCCAACCCAACAACCTCGATCTTCTTGTCTCCAATTGCTGAAAAAAAAAAATCAATGCTTTAGGATTAATCTTTTCTTTCAGGCAATCTCGTTATTTAACTTCACCCTGGGAAAAGGAGAGGGGGGAGTTAATTTTTAACAATTCCTTGAAAAAACAGTTGCGGAATTTATCCTCAGCACTACTTAATCATGTTGACAGCTCATTTTCTGGTGGGTTTGCATAGGATAAGACTTGTGTAGATTAAAGCTCCTCTTAAATTTTTTTGGTATGTACACTAATTAAAATATATAAATCTAAGCACATTTAAATGTTTCTTTCTCTAGAGAATACATGGTATCAATGACAGGTCAAGAGGTTTTTTTTAACTTCTAAAAACAATCACTGACTGTTTATATCAGTATAAATCAGTATAATTTATCACTTAATAATATGATATTATTGTATTCTTGTTTCGAATTAGGAAGCAAGACAATTTTGAAGTACCAGTCACCTATTGCCTACCTCTGACCACTACTGAACAAATTATTTAATAGTACTTGTTACTTAAAGTTACAGTTTAATCACAAAATGCATTTATACATGTATATGTTAGAAATAACAATGATGTAAACAAAAATGCGATTATGTTATGAAAACAGAAGCAAACCATGAGGTGCATTAAAGCCAGGTATTGCCTGTTCAAAAAAGAAAAAATTAAAGGACCCCCTCCCCACCAAAAAAAAAAAAAAAATCTTGTTATTCAACTAAATAGAGTGAAATATACACGAAAAAACACAGTGCCGTCATCACAAATTCAGGTAGAACAAAATAATTAGACAGTAGTTATAGAATCAGGGCAAAGACAGTATATGATTTGAATTCCCCAGTGATCAATATTGGGGCTTTTTTTTCATAAACTATGAAAGCTATACTGTCAAACCATCTACATAGTACACAAATTATCATAGTACTAGTATGCTAATAATACAGCTCTTTACTTCACCTTTTCTGAAATAAATGAGGTAATAATGAAAATGAGTAATGACAGTAAATTAGAAAATGGATAGTTGATAACATACTAAGCCTAGAGTACAAATAAAAAACACATCCTTACAAAAACCAATCTGTATGTTTATTGGAACACAACAAATATTAGCAAAATTAATATTCAATTTGATTTATTTTTTGATCTCCGAAATTCTCTCCATGATACAAGTTATAAACATTTTCTTAAGAATCTTAATAAACATTACGTCAAATCTTAAATATCAGAATTAATTTCCAAGCTGAATTTTAATAATATTGATAACAAATTTTATATTTAAATTCTCAATTATTGTAAAAATTGTATTTAAACATGTTTATAAAATCTGAAATCCCAAAACAATGGCGTGTTTTTCAATACATGGAGTACTGTATGTATTATACTTTCTTTTCTAAAATCTGTTAAGTGCAATGGGCATAATTTTTATATTTTATAATTTTTATATTGTTTGCAACTTTATGATGGACAGTTTACTTGCATTTTTACTTGGTAGCTTTAAAGTAATTGATATTTTAAAATTGAATTTCTAGAATATTTTAATATTTTAAATAAATTTTAAATTATTATTTAAACTCTGTATTGTAATATACAGACGTGTTCCTGAGAAGCTCTCTTAGTATCTTCTGTTTTTATGGTTTGTTGGGCTTAGGTTTGTTAGGTAGAGTTTTATTTTTAACCCCATAAGTGTCAGACATGCCACTAAACCTCGAAATAGTAAACCTATGAAGAGCAAACTTCCAGATAATAGCAAAAAACGATATGACCCTAACTATCCAAGATGGCGGTGGCTGCGAGGCTGGAACTTCACTCAAGAAGGCTAAGCCAACAATAAGAGGAAGGCCACAGAAGAGGAATGGAATTGTACTGCGTACACTACCACGGTATATGATGATGGTGATAATGCTATGGCTTTGATAAATGCCAGCTCTGGACCCACCAATAATGTGCTAAATTAAGTAAACAAGAATACAAATCTTCACAGTGGGATTTAATTAACATCATGTTTTTCTGCGCGCCATTGTGTCGGGATTCAATATTTCGACATTAATTATGTCATCATCAGGCATTCATTCGTTCCTGATGATGACATAATTAATGTCAAAATATTGAATCCCGACACGATGGCGTGCATTTCAATACTTGGAGTATGTATTATACTATCTTATCTGAGATTAATCAGTGGACCTTTCGGTTCATGTTTTTCTGTAATACGTGCATAGGCCTAGTCAAGGACAGTCTAGTTTCTACTGGGCCGCAACAACTAGACTATCATAACAGTCCCAACGACAATGTTACTATGAAGGATGTAATTGTGATTTAGTTCACTCTTGGAGTGTTCCTATCTCATTGTTCTTATGTGCTTGTTCCTTGCTGTTTCTCTTATTGTAAATTTTCATGTTTTTGAGACAAATATATGGAAAAAAAATGTGGATTCAAATATAGGCAGAAAATGTTACTATAAAAAAAGTTCAAGGCCATAAACATTTTAGGTGTTGGTATTGGCAGAAATTTGGAATGGAAGATGATAGATGATAAATGTACAAAAGAAAGATAATAAAGATAAATGCAAAGTATTGCCAGGGTTGCTTAAATATAATATCAAGATTTATCCATGAACATCTGTAATCTATAATTTACAAAGCAATTTCCCCCTTCCTCCCGCCATAATCATTATTTTATGAACAGTTCTGATTCTACATTTTTCTGTTTTAATTTAAATAATCTATTAAGTTAAAGATCTAATTTTATTTTCATATTTATTCTTTTTTCTTTAATTGTATGTAATGAGGGGGTCAATTGATCAACTCTTGCTGGATGGACCACCCTAACAAAAAATTAATTAATTAATTAACTAACAAATGTAGTGTTGTATGGGCTGATAAAGTCAGAGCTAAAAAATAAAATAATAAAGTGCTGGGGTACAGGTTAGCTGATATAATTACAAAGTAAGAGAATATGAGTTCAGCATACCAGCCCGGTGGCTTTAAACTGGATTTCTCAGTAATGAGAGGCTACAATATTGTATAAGATATCCCATAACCTAGTAAGCACCTTCTTTTTTAAACAAAAACCTTATGTTAAAAGAGGAAAATACAAGCTCTACAGATGTGGAGTGCCAAAAGTAAGTTTAATGTTTCCTAACTAAGAAATCATCTTGAAAACACATTAATGCATAGTTTGAACCTTTTTCATAAATTAAATAGTGGCAGCAAGTATAATCATTTGGGACGTTCTCATAATGAAAACAGTTGTTTCAAAAGGTTCCCACAAAATGTCAGCAGGTTTTAATGCATTCAGCAGGCCTAGTGTTTGAAAAAAATAATCCACGTTCATATAAGCTAGGATTAGCTTTGATGTGTAGCTGAAAACTAGCAAGGCAAAACTAGTCTATATAGTACCTCTTTGAAAGATTTGTAAGAATTTAAATATTCTAACAACAAACTATCGCTAGAATATTCTCAATTCATGGGGATGTTTGCTGTCTGATCTAGCCTTTGCCATCTAGCCTTTGCAGGCTTACATTTTCTACACCTTAATCATCTGAAATTACAACAATCTTAAAAAGTATTGAACCTAGGCCTTGGGAATTAAGTCTATACAAATCTATGGATAATAAATAAAAGTACGAAAACATAATTTTAAAGAGTTGGTTTTTTGCCTGGAAAGTATCTCATGGATTATCAATTATGAATGCTTGGCAACGTCACACATGTACGATCCATACAATTATTGACAGTATTGTAAATTATTTTTTTTAATGTTTGTATTTTTATAGTAAAAAGTCTGGGTTTTACTGCAAAACTTATCTATTGAATCTATATTTAAAAAGTTATAAAAGTAGTTGTATAGCCATGTTAGTATAAAAAATAACAGGTAAAGATTTGCACAACGGGCCTCACTTTAAGATGTTATTATTCAGCACAAGCTTTTGCCAGCAGTGACACACACTTTATTAGACTTACATTGTTCTGCTGAAAGCAAATCTACATTTGACTGTGTAGCTCCGACGTTGGCGTGGCCCGACTCTTTCTGTTTCTGCGCTTTCTTTGCAATCCTGGCACGCTTCTTTGTGCTTGGGTTCTCGCCCCATAGGTTCGATCCTCCATAAATGCTCGGGATATTCAAGATCGCAATTCCCTCGAGTGACGGTCCATTGGCGAGGTCCAGCGATACACCATCGCACTATTAAAAGAAAAGGTAAAAATGGATAAAGGTCAAATTCAAATAATGTCTTGGTGTGATTCTATGAAATGTTTATATTGGTTACTTATTCCAGATTGTTTAACAATTCAAAATAATGTTGGTAAGCTTCTATAATTAGTTAGTCATTGTACTGTTCATTAACAGCATACGACACTTCAATCTGTGGCTAAACTTTAAATTTAAAAACCAATTGGTCTAAATGAGAATGAAAAATACTTAAATTTTGGTAATATAGAAAACAATTTTGTAAAGTATTAAAAAACTATTTGATTGATTATTTTAACAATCTTGCATATAGCACATTCCTGCTAGTGAAGCGACTGGAACCCATTCTTTAACATTTACAAATTTAACACTTGACCTGCAGGTCAACGCTTCACAATTCTCAACAACATGTTAAGAAAAAAAAAGAATGTGATGGCCTTGAGATTAAATGACAGTACTTATGGACAACTTACACCAACATACACACGCACACATCAAGTGGATTGTTGGAAAAGCCTGCATTAAAACATGATATCTTCAAATATACCTGAGATCAAATGTTTAGCGTGCTATACGTAACAACGATCATCAAATTAAATCTATCAAGCATTTTTAGCTACACATTCGTATACACAGCTTTCTAGTGAAATGCAACTCCTCTCAGTACAAGCACCAATTAATTTGTTCCTTTCAAATAAATTAAACAGACATCATTTAAAGGCCTGCTTACCTTAATTCCCCAATCCAAAATATCACGGAGCACATCATTTATCAAACAGCAATGATGCAAAATGAGAATTGTATTTGTCTTAGGATAATTCACAATACCACTCATGTTAACAAGGAGGACATTTGCCAATTTCGAAAAGGACTGGAATTTTAATTTTGAAGACGAAATAAAGGTCGGGTGTTTAGAAATTATTCTTTGGGAATTATCTGCAAACATTAGTGTGGAGCAATGCATCTCAACGTTGCTTAAAAGATTAACTCACAGACTGAATCCAAAATTTCCACAGCGTTTAAGTGGATTCGAGCAAAATAACGAGCAATTGAATGAAACTTTCAACGAAGAATTTGAAAGAGTACGAGAAATATGTTTTGCCTTGAGTATGAGGTTAAGGAGATTAGTTTGTAAAGTGGGAATTCTTACTATATAAAGATTTAAAGCACATTGTTTTTAAAGTGCTAACATTAATACAACTCTCAGTAAACAACTTACTGTACATTCCAGCTGACAATATTTTCATCAAAAGTTCAAAACAACACAAACAAAAGACACTGTTCTTCTTTAGGCACCGTATGATGGAAAGGGATGGGGAATAACGAGTCCAAAGAAAGTTTTGACGAAAAAGCAGTTGGTCATGGCTACATTATCATTCAATTTCAAATGACAACACAGACAGTGTACATGAGTTTGGTATGTAATATATTTGTGTTTGTGAGAGGATGCTGATGTGGTTGTGTATAGCAGTATAAATTCTTTATTAATATTATGAAACTTCAGCTTAAACAAAGCTATACTTACCATAATGTCGATGTCCTCATGTAGGTTTTTGCAAGTCGATGAAAAGGTTTCTGAGGTGCCAAACTCAAAATACCAAAGTTTGTTCTTCATGCGACTATTAAATTTCTCTGGGTGTCGTTCGCGCATTTGATGAAATCTGTTTGCAATGGCGGCATCCTATTATTGGGGGAAAAAAAACAAAACTAAACAATATTGTCTTGGTTAATAGCATCCGATTGTCAGGAGGATAAGAGAAAACAGACGATGTGTAGTGAGAATTTATATCATATTGTAAATTTTTCAGATTTTTAATGCATTTGGACAAAAGGAGTTTGAAACATGTTAATGTTGATTTATGGTATTTTTCCTGGTTTTTTTTTAACATTAACATCTCCTTTTTTTTATTTAATTTTTATATTGTTATTATTTTATGTTATTGCATTCAGTATGTTATATATTTTTTTAATTGTCAATTATTTAGTTCATATTTTGTTCATATTTAGTTCATTTTACAATTCTTTGTTAAGGAGACTGTTGGTCCTCCATGAGTTATAGAAATTCTTTTTTCTTTAACTGTCACTAACCACTTGTTATCATTTGTGGTTGAATAATAAATGAAATGCTGTTCCTTTTTGTATCCTTGGGCAAAAAACCTATGTGAGACTATTTATTACGAGGCCTGTAATATATTTAAAATTTGTTTCTTAATTGAAAATGAAATTCTTAAATACTTTCACATCCAGCAGGTGAAAAGATATCTAACTGGGAGAGGGGGATGGGTGGGCTAGTTGTTGATGCAATTTGTGTCAGTGCAATCTCATCATCTGCCATAAATAGTGTTTACTTACTGTATCTTTGTATGTGAATGTGAATTATATTTTAAGGCATCTGAAACTGAATAAAACAAAATAAAGTTCCTTTACATCCAAAATGTGTCCTTGTCAGTTACAGTAAATGAATCAAAATTTATGATAGCTTACCACACCAATAGAGAAGTAGTTGTTGATGATATTGTATGGAACAGGGTCCCCCTGTTCCTCTGTGTTGGTGGTACTGAATTCAATATGCCATCGGTCCAAGTACACCATTCTCGATATTTCTAAGTCTTTCATTATTTTTCCTAGACTAGCACCAACATAGCCTACAAAAATGAAACACAAGTGGATAAATGATACAAGTTCAGACAAGCGTTTCTTAAAATAAAAACACAGTTACAAAACTCCTAAAGCTACAAACTTTGTAAGTTACAAACTGTTGTTGATAGCTCTATTTATTAGTAGTATAGTTATTTGCTTGATCATTGTATACTACATTGTATCCGACTGCTAATTGGTTAATTGTGAGACTATTACTAATTATGTAAGCATAAGCTCTTTTCTACTTTGTTTTCAATTTTTTACTCCACACACCTGATGATGCTGGCATTGACTGCCAGCGAAAGCTCGTATTGAATAAATAACATCTAAGATAGTCTCAGAGTGCTGCCTTTTAATTTTATTTGTAAACCGTTGTTGCAAACTGTTTTAAGTTTAACATGAACACTATAATTTCTTTGTAGGTAAATTTCTAGTTTGAATATATGATGTTTTAATGGGTTTTAAGTAATTATGTTTGGACAACTGTTTTTTACAGTTTTATTTATTACAACAATGTTTAAAGAAGATTACTCTTTCAGACTCCTCAAAGAGAAACTGACATTCAGGGGCTCTTTTTAGTAAAAAAGTGAAATAATATACATTAATCCAAAATAAAATTAGAAAAAGAGTATATATAACCTACAAATAATCTATGAAAAGCCTAATATACATCGAATAAATATATAACAACAGTATTATCAAAAATACAATAAACAATACAGAATAAATAAGATTACAAATATTTATACATATAATTAAGCAACTGTATTAAATTCAATTTATTTGGTATTTTATGTTGATTATTTGTATAAAACCCATATTTATCGGTAATGTTAAATGGATTTTGACTTGTAAAGAATGATCAACAAAATAATTTATCTATGAAAAGGCACTCAATACTTTTCAATTCCATATTGATCCGGCATAAATATATTGTAACAATATATATATATACAATATTTCAAGAAGATAGACAGGTAACTAGATAAATATTTCCACTGAATGCAATCTATGTACTCTGGTAATGAATTTTCCAAATCCGAATTGAAGACTAAACATTAAATTATAGCGAAAAAGGAATATAAAAATAGATAAAAGCAGGAAGATAGATTAAAACAAGGCATATTTCAAACAGAAGACATGTAGTAAAAAATACAGACATATAAATAGATGTGGCTAATATATTTTTAGTTAACAGCTTAATTAACGTTTTAACATGCCTTAAATTGCCTGATGAAGATACTTTTAAATACGATTGGTTATTTTCTTGGTGTAGTATGCTTTTATCATGTACGTTTTCAATGTTCTTTTCTGTGAGTTATCATTTTTCTGTATGTGTCTGGAGGTAGTGTTAAGCATGTTTTTCCAGCATTAACCTTTGAAAGCCTAAGTTCATGTATATTGGTCTAGAGAGAGAATGAGGCACTTAGTGCAACAAAGTACAATTAGTTAATGACTGCAATAACACAATCAGGCTCAGTTTAAAAGTGTTTGCAATTCAAGCAAACCTTTTGCTGCATTTTGCCTTAAATTGATGCTTTTTGTTGTAAGTAAACAAATTTACAAGACAATTAATGCAAATACAAAGATTTTACGAGCATTTTTTATACCACTCAAAACAAGCATTTTGTTGATTGCCATTGTTGTACACTACTACATAATGATATAAAGATTAGTAAAAACTAATGAAACTGTACAAATTGACATTTAAAACAAAATGAAAAACAATTATTAAAGAGAGTATTTTAGTGAAAAACAACTAAATTATAATTTATTACACACACACTACAACTAACTAATCATCACATTAAGTAACAATATATTAATATAATTGAAAATACTATATAATAATTATACTACATTATAGTTATATAAACCTTTCTTACTAACGAAAATAAAGACCACTTAAATGTTTTAACACAACCTAGATGTTTCTGATGGAATTAAAATAGATTATAAGGCAATACTACCGCACAGTTATCCATCAACAATACCCGAGGATACTGGGCGATATATAAACAGATTTCTACAAAGAAAATCACAATCAACTACCGCAGTAATGTTTTTAAAGCTGGCCATACTAAAACGATTTATAAGAATCTCACCTCCGCCCCAGTTTAAGCACCGTGCTAAATCATTACCAGTTCCTAGGGGCAACACTGCCACGGGAGGTCGATTTGGCAAGTTCAACTTATCTGCAAAAAAAAAAAAAATCATTGTGATAAAACTGTCCACCAATAATTATTTCGAATAAAAACAAAATTTTATTTTTGACCAACAATTAGCGCACCTGTCGCCACGAAAAAAATGGAATTAAAAAAAAAAAAAATTTAAGTTTTAAATTATTTTTATTACGTCCGCTGCTGCCTTGAAATCTCCAAAAATAAGATATGTATATTTCTTCCTAACTATATAAATTTAAAGTATTTAACCATCCCATTACTACACTGTTTACAATCAACAATAACATTTTATTTTTATTTTCTCCTCCGTCTGAATGTTTTTGCAAAACCATTTGCTAAATAAGAAAAAAAAAATATTTTTATTTTTTTTCCACACTCGTCTAACGACCTTTAAAAAAATAAGTTTGTGAAACAAAGTATTAAAAAAGTCTTGATTAGTGATATAAAAATGTATTTATGTATTTTATTCATTTGTTTAGATTAAAATAAAGGATCTGACAACAGATTACTGAAATACCATCTATTTCAATGTGATATTTTATATACTCCATTATATTATACATATGAAATAGCTCATACTTGGGTGATAGTTATAAATTAATATAATCAAAAGTGACATTCACTACTTTCAATTTGATGCACACAAGTATTTTGAGATATTATATCATAATTAAGGTTAATTTAATAAGTCTGTATATTTCGCTTTATACCTTTTTCTTGATTATTTTGACAGTTATTTCTATTTAATTCAAATTTATTTTTGTAATAACATTTGGCACTGTGGAACGATATAAAATACAATTTCAAGTATAATAAAAAGTATCCATTAAAATTTAACAAGTATAAAAAAAATTATGATTTTTTGACATCTTAGTTATTTTGTTGACTTAAGGATCACAGGCTAGTATTTAGTATTGATCGCAATCAACACAAACTATTTTTTTGCTTTATAACTGCTACAATATCGCACCATACAAATTTAATGTTTCATAGTTAATGTCATCCACACAAAAAAGTGAATCCCAAGAGATACTGAGACATGTATCTTTAAACTAAACAGAAATTCTACATTTGATAGGCTTTAGTCGATTTTGGTCCCATAATCATAAAATCTGTCCGTCTTTTATTTCAAACTGCTGCTGAAATTCTCAAGATTGTAAGGCAATCATGAATTGGGATGAGTTGTTTCCTTACTTGATTTGGCACTTAATGGCCAGTGAAAAGAGTCAAGGGAATGCAATTAACTTACTTAACCAAAGCATTTTAACAGTACGCATAGCTTTGCCACATTTATGACTGAGATTCTACCATTATCACCCCTTAATAGATCGAGAAGTGATCATAAAATATCATAAATATCACAGCAAACAGCCACAATAAATATAGATACTTTCACAAAAATATGCCAAAATCTTCAAAAACAGGGATAGACTTTTTTAACCAATTCAACTTTTTTTAAATTTGGTTACCAAAAATCATACATTATCTTAAAACCACATGCTTAATCAATTTTTCTTTTTTTTTCCCTCAATTATGCTGATTTAGCTCAGTCAGGCATTACGCTATCATGGATTGCAATATTATTATTAATAGTAAAAATCTTGCAGTACACGACCACGTAAATAGTTTTGAAAATAACTGAAATGTTAAGAGTATTTTAAAGTTACAGTTAAACTTGCATAAGTCGAATCCAGAATGCCATTAAAAAATGTTTCGATTTAGATAAAATTTGACTTACAGTTAATTAATTAATGGAAAAGACAAGACAATTTGGCATGTAAAGTAAGATCGACTTAGAAATAATTGAGTTAGGGTAAAGTCGACTTAGGGAAGTTTAACTGTACTTGCTTCATAAGGAATATTGAGATACCTTTAACACATCAGTTCTTTTCAGAACTATTCATGTGGTGTACTGCAAAGTTGTTACTATCCGCCATGCACAACTTGAAACAATATTATCATCAATTATCATTATTCAAATTTATAATTAAGTCAATAAAAGGGACAAATTATATATATATATTTTTTTTAGGATACTTACCCATACAGTCAAGAACCCAGCCTACTGTACCATCTCCACCACAACACAGGATTCGAGCATTATTTACCTCCCAGAAAAACTTCAGCCTATTAATTGAAATATATTTAGTAATACAGTCAAAAATGAACCTAACAAATTATAAATCTCTCCATCAACAGATAACATTTTATTAAGAATATTTTTGGATCATCTTAATCATAAATTAATAATAAATTAGCTTCTATAAATGCTCTTTACTGGTGTCTCACAGCACTATAAAACCTATAATCTATTGGAACAGGTGATTTTTAAGGAGAGACTTGAATTGCCGGATAAATGAAGACTGATGGAAATTAAGTTGAAGTCGATACCAAATCGCAGGTACCTGGACAAAGAAATTCTTTAACTGAGATTTCTTGGAGAAACTCACCTTTAAATTATAAGGTAAAAAGTGTATTTCATTCTTTCATTTCAATTTTTTGTTGCTGTATGTATGTTCATTTCTATGTACAACTTCTTAATAAGTTGAGGATTACATTTTGTCTTTATATCCATTTTATTGACTACATCTCAATCGCAAGTTGAAGGTTGCGTTTTATTTCAATTCACATTTTATAACCCTAATCTCAATTTGTATTTGTGCATTATTCTGGTTAAATGTTCGTAACTGCATTTTCCTTCAATTCATGTTTTTTAACCCTAATCTCAATTTGTATTTTTGTGCTTTATTCTGGTTAAATGTTTGTAACTACCATCAGTATTTTAATAATTTTTGATAGAGTTTCATTAGATTCATTTGGCTAACATTTATATCCATATCCTTCAAAGATAAATTTCTATCATGAATTTGGAGCTAAGGCATGCCATTGATTACCTGAATATAGCTTTGAGCCTGCTCTCCTTACACTCTTGTATTATCCTCGATCCTACCTATAAATATCCCACCTCAGTTATATACGAGGGATCTTCAAGCAACTTAACAAATCTTCATCAAGAAAACAGAAAAACCTTGGCCTTGTCTACAATTACAAGACAATCTTTGCAAAAAGCTTACTCTTAATAGTATAATGGGCAACGATGCAGCTCTAAGGCCAGAAGATTTCTTAATTGTTAAAAAATAAGACTTAGATGATTCCAAGAAGAGAATTATACCCTGTGTAGCAATTAAGATCTTGTAGAAGTAATCCAATTGTCAAAGTCTCCCATGTAATGGTATACGTATCTTTAACGAGGGATAAAGTAGTAGTTGGACATTCGCAACAAATAAATCCTTTTATAAATAGACGTATCCATTTACAAATAAACAAAACATAAATACGAAATCAGATACCGATAAGGAAATTAAAAGATAAATTAAACTGTGAATAATTTACAAAATACAGTGCTAAATAAAACAAAATAAGACAATATATTGATTATCTAATACCACATATTTTAATTACTTATTTATGATGTATGGACCAAAATTTTAAAATTGAAACTGAATTCAAAAATAGAGCATTGTTGCTTTGAGTTTTTGAGTTCAATACTATTTGGTGCCCAGCCTTAGAAAATAATTTTCTATTGAATTTTTATGAAATCCTTAAGAAAGTGCATCTGGAGATCACACATTTGTTTCAATGTTTAAAACTGTTGCTAAATTATGTACTTTCAGTCCGAGAGTTAAAATGGCAACTTTTGTATTCCATTTAAAAAATAAAAAAAAATTAAGGTTGAGGGCAGCATACAAAAATTCTAACTCCAGTCATCTTTGGCTAATGCTTATGTATCCATTATACTTAACCAATAACGCCTTATAAAAAACATTATTAGTGTATCATCCTATCTAGGTTAGAAAAGTGATGGGGAGGGAGACTTGGTGGCTCTTTTTTTTTTTTTTTTGCTAAAGCCAAATATCATTCTTGCATTGTTTGCTGGTGCATTGATATTTGAAGTAAAAAATGATTGAGATAATACAAACAATATCTCCTAACTATTTAATAAAAAAAATTAAATTTTTTTTTCAGTACCATAAGGACAAGTGCGCGAGAGGGTGATAAACTAATACATTTTTTTTATTGGGCCTAAATCAATCATTCATTCAGTATCATGTATAAACTCAGGAGAATTAGCAGCTTTTAAAATACCTCATATTTGTTAAATTTTTTGATAAGATATTCAGTTAAATAATAATACTAGAAAATAATACAAACCAAAATTCAGATTTTAGGTTGTTGCATAAGTTGCTTATTATTTCAAATGACCGAGGGATAAATATTTCTTAATGTATGGTGGAGTATCATATGTTAAAACTAGAGAAGCACTTCATAAATTGGATACCTCTGCTATCTGCATGATGAATACCAAATGTTACACACAGGCCGTTCATGGTTGATACCATTTTCTTTTATGCTTGAGGGGTAAATTTTAAAATTTCTGTGACTCTGACATTCACTTTTGACTTTTTCATCCCAAGAACAAAACACTCCTTAATTCCCATAACTAAATTTCATGATTTTCCATTATTAAGTTTTTAAATATTCTAATAACCAGCAGACAGACAGAAAGACAAACGAACAGCAATAGAAGCGGTTTGGCGCAGTGGAAATGGTTTGGTTTCCCAAATTGGAGGTTGGGGTTTGAATACTTCACTGTGCATTTCGCTTGTGTCCTTGAACAAGGTACATTATCAACATTGCTTCAGTCTACCCAGCTATACCAATGGGTACCAGCAAACTGCTGGGGGTAACCTCAGTGGACTATCCCACCCAGGGGGAGCATCACACTTTGAAAATCAGTGCAATAGTACTGAAAGTACCTACAGTATAAAGAAAGAATATATACATAAATAAATAAATAAATCCGCTTCACGCTACAGAAACTGGGGGGTAAGCTCCAGCCCCTATCGGCGAGGATTTACTTTCTTTTTTACTCCTTAGACCCATAACTAAATTTCATGATTATCCATCAATAAGTTTTTAAATATCCTACTAATAAATACACAGGCAGACAGACAAACAGAAATGATTACATAACCTCCTCCATGGAGGTTCCTAATGCACCTGCATTATAAAAGGTTAAAAACCTTTAACACATTTGCTAACCAGTAAATTGTTGGCAACAAGTGTTAAAAAACACTAAAAACAAAAATATTTTTGTCATACATACATGAACAATATACACATACAATGAAGACACACACGCACACACATTATAACTAGCTTAGATTTATTGAACATCAGAATGTATTTTTTCTTACCCTGGCATAGGACCTCCTTTAGAGAGGTCATACACTTGTCTGGGGTTAAGCAGGTACTGAAACTTGCGTTCTATTTTCTCTCCCTGACGACCTCCGCTTTTCGGATTTACGAAGACTAGGAGTGGGTGGGTGCCTGGTGGGGGTGTAATCTGGAAAAATCATTAAAGGAAGTGTTCATCAATATACGTCATTCAAAATTTATTACCAAATCAAGCAATAACATCTGTTTCAATTATAAAAACAAGTAATTATCACTTACAATAACACCCACGTATTTTTAAGCTTATACATTGTAGCGGCTCATGAACTGATGTAACCCTACCAATCTCAATATGTAATCATTTGATACCTGTTTTTCATATTAAATATATTGATATGAAGAAACCGTTAAATATAGTATTTGCAAGAAACTTGAAGACATTTAATTTTTGTGTTCTAACTTTTAACCTACAAGCAGAAGTTGTCACAAGAACCCAGTATGGTTAACTACACTACTGACACTATAATAGCTTTTTCCCATCTTTAACTATTTTGTAATTTTTTACACTCTCGATTTTACGAACCTAAATTGCAGCAATGACGTCATAACGAGCGGTCACATTTGTGACAGAATTTTGCCCCTATGGCAAGGCTTGGGCCTACCTATAACCACTGTGTAGCCCTGTAGCATAGGCCTAGGCCTATCCTCACCACATTTAGATGCTATGAAAATTTGACCTCTCTGGATTACAAATTTTTTCATTTACGAACTCTGTTCGGACGGAGATGTACGTAATTAAGAGATGTAACTGTATCCTTCGTAAAATTTACCTGTAAGCCCTGTCCATCTACCGACATTGAATCCGTTCTTGATACCGTACGACGAGAGGTTTCGCTATCTTCAGATGCAGAACTGTCCTTGTTTGTGGCCATTTTACGTTCCTAGATAGTATAATAAACAAATGTGATAACTATTTATAAAGTTCAAATCAACCATTTTTATCATCTAAACATGTTTGTCAGGCTGAATGAATGGGAGTCAGCTCTCGATATGTAATAATTGAATCCTGGTGCCCCCAAACTTTCAGACGGTTTGTTGATAATTTAGGAAATGCCCCGTCATCTCAATGGTTTTTTGTTCTTTATCATTCCTGCAGTGATAACATTTTTTATAGTTCCTTTTTATCCATCACCACATGGAAAAAACACATAATACCGAAAGATTATGATGTGACCTGGTATTAAATGACCTGTCTTATCAAAATGGGTCACATGTCTCAACTAATAAAATAGACATATCTATTTTAATTTGAAAGTGTATTTTTAGAGCCGCACACTATGATATTAGAGATTACAATTTTTAGTCACAAGGTACAAACTTATTAAGGAATATAATGTAGTCATTACCAAGATTACCATAAATATAAATATACAAAGTCAGTAATAGGTAAAATGTAATAAGTACGTTACTGATAAGGTTGCATCTAAAATTGATATCACATGAAATTAATCACTAGACTTACGCGTAAGCACACTTGTTTTATTTACATTAAAAAAAAAGAAGCAACTATACATTCTTTGATTTCAATTATATTTTACAGTATATGACAGGTAATTAAAAATGACCTCTAAGTTTTTAACTACTGTATTGGAAAGAGATTAGGCCAGATATATCTCAATTATTTATACAGATACTTCAGTGAAAATATACATGGCTTCTTAGTTGTTCTGAAGATATTATGATCAAAATTAATGCTGAAATTACTTTGGCTTTGTAACATTTTTTGTATTTATGTTTTCCTTCAAATTATTACAATTATTATTTTACTAATATTTATAATGATTATAACAATTTTAGCATGTCTGTACATTGATATCATTTTCTACGCCTTCATGTTTTATGTAACATTAGGTAATTTAAGCCTACACTTCTATCCTACATTAGTGGATTTTATGTGAGTTATTGATTTTATCATTATTTTCCTTTATAATACATATGCATGTATTGAACTTGTCAACATACCTCTATACAACTAGTCTGCTTATTCAATCCTCCACTCTTTTTCAGGGAATTAACACGTCCCTGGAAGAAAACAGAGAAAAGGTGCAATGACAGGGCACCACCAGCTATACATTAATGAAGTGACTGATGATGATAGAAACAACGATAATGATGATGATATTAATAAAGAAGATGATGATGTTGATAATGATGATAATGAAAATGACAATGAAGATGATGATGAGAATGATTATGCTGATGATGAAAATGAAAATGATGATGTTGATTGTGATAATGATGACGAAAGTAAAGATGATAACAATGATAATTGATAATGATGATGGAAAGCAGATGGCTATGATTATGATGTTTATAACTACGATAATGAAAATGAGGATACTAATGGCTGTAATGATGGTAAGGATGATTATGGCTGTGATTAATAATGATAATAATAATAATAGTCGTGACGATGATCGTAAAATTTCTGAGATGATGAAGAAAACAAAGAAGACGATGATGATGGTGATGGCTGTAATATAAACAAGAGTCTAAAAAGTTTATAAATGCTGATGGTATTGACTGGTCATTGAGAATAGGGACTGGAGCAAGACTTACTAGTACTGCTGGGCAGATTGTCGTCGGTGGTAGAATGTGATCTCGAAAGTCACCCATATTGCACTCTGGCTTCACGTGTGAGGCACACTTATTGTGCAGCTTAAATAACGAAATGAAAAAAAAAAATTATTATTACAATATTTCACAAATATCAGTTTTTACAATTATACATAGAACAAGTACTCTAAAAATAATAAATCTTTGCTGGTGTCACGAACAGGGTGTCAACAGTTTGTTACCTGAACTGTGCCACTTTGATCAACAAGGAAATCTGGGTTAGCCCACTTTGGTCCTAGGGGTAACCACAGTTCAGCACCACACCTAGTAATTAGGGAGCTTATGATTTGCGCAATACCAGAACGGATTCACTCATGCGCGACCATCCTACGTTCTCTGCACAACACAGATTCGGTCAAATTGCATCCTAGAACCCAAGCTCCCTATTAATTGTGCTTGCTTGAGATTTTGTGAGGTTGCTGTGATTTCAGAAGTTATCAGTGACTTGTGGGAAACTAGACCACCCCCCCCCCCTTCCCGGAGATTGCTCCATGGTTCAGTGAACACACCGTGGTTACCACCAGTTTAAACATTAATATTATATTTTAGAATACTTACTCTAATCTTGCACCATCGGCACTGCATTCCAGTGATTCCATTGTAACTCTTGATCGACTTCTTACAGCGACTACATTTTCCGGGGCAATTTCCCTCAACCCAATGATGAGTCATAACCTAAAAATCCACAGAAATAATCAAGAATAAGATTAAAAGATAAAAAAGTACAAATAAGTACATTAATTCTCCACAATAAATATTAATGGGCATAATAAAAATATTTACATTAATAATGGTAATTTTTATTTATGGCAATTTCTGCAAGCAAAACAATTATGACATAATAATAATAATAATAATAATAATAATAATAATAATAATAATAATAATAATTATAATAATAATAATAATAATAATACAAATTATTGAAATAGCAAATAAATTACTCCCTGTAAAGTCTATCAAATTGCAACTATATGCCCTTACTTGATAACCAATTTATTTAACAGTATTGTAATTTACTTTCAACTATAAAATAATTAAGAAATATTCTTAATAAATACAACCACTATTAAAGATAAAGATAAAAATGCATTCCTGTAATTTCTATAAAAAACTGAATGTTATGTGGACATGAGGAAAAGAAGTACATTCACAAATATCATGCAGATTCAGGCAATATATTATGCAAATGAGATAATTAAAATACATGCTAATTATTACAAAATAAATGCCAATGATACCCTTTAATGTTATCTTGTCATTTATTTTTAAAATTTTATGAAAAAAACAGAAACTACTACTCTAACTTAATGGGAAACTAACAAAAGGGGAAAACAATTACTTTTTTTAAAAAAGACTCATAATCACTCAATGTTCAAAATCATATACATCTAAAATACTATATTAATAATCACAAATTATGGGGGGAAAAATCTATTCAGTCTTTTAAACACTCAAGCTAATTCCACACAGGGATGGTAAAATAATGCATTTATATGACTCTAAATGATGCTTGCTGAAGTAGAGCATTAAATTTATTTATATAATCTTGCTTTTGTATTTGCATGACTTTCGACTTTGAGCTATTTAGTGTAAAAAAATCATTTTAAGTTTGTTTAATGATATTCTTATTATTTACTTAAAATTTTAAAACAAATTTTAAAACTATATATGACTATAAATTCATAAACAAAAGAATTGAATTCAACTATTTTAGTTCATTGATTGCGGTGGCAGTTGCTGTCTATATCCAACATATGGCTGTTAGCATCCTGAATATTTGTTTCTTTACATTTTAAATGAAATGAAAATAATAAATAATATTCATATTTAAATAATATGTATATATTTATATAAATAAATATATTATATATAAGAATGAGAGGGATTCACAGTCAACTGTAAGCATCCTGAATATGTTTCTTTACATTTTAAAATTCAATAAAAATAATATATAATATTCATATCCAAAAATATAAATGTATATATTTGTACAAATAGATATATATTATATTACATATGAGAGGGATTATCACCCTACTGGTGCTTGAATTCACCATGCCTTTGTGATCGAGTGGTGATTAAATTCACCCTGTATGTGAGAGGTCCCAGGTTCAAGCCTGGTGGAAGCAGAATTTTCTTGTTTTGTCAGATTCCTCTTCTGTTATGTTTTAATGAATATATATAAAAAATATACATATAAACACACACACTTATTTATATATATATATATATATATGTATATATAAGATGTGTATAAGAGACAGGTATATGACAGGTAATTAAGCAATGAGGCTTTTAAATCAATGGCACATGATCTAGCAAGTGGTGGTGCATCCTAAAATACAAAATTAACAACAAAACATTACTGTACATGGAATAAAAAGGAAATGAATAGAGAATGAAAAAAACTAATGTTTGATTTGTAAAACAGAGCATGATCAGAAGAAGGCCCAGGATGTTAATTAAAGTTATACCTTATTTACTTTGACACCATTCCCTTAATTACAAAATAAAGCATGTTCAAACGTAGGGTGGTTATCTGGATGTTAATAAACCACTTATTATCGTGGATGTTAAACAAATAGCACCTTGTTTACTTTGAAACCAATTATTCCTGTTTAAAATATTTTTTGGATGTTGAGTAAGTAACACGTTATTTACCTTGACACCATTACCCTTGTTTACAAAGTACTGTAGAGAAATAAGGGCAATTTAGGTTTGGTATTACACCATTCCCCCTTTTTATAATTAGTGCATACTCTGGACAATTTCCTGGTTTTTAATTAAGTAATTCCTAATTGACTTTGACACCATTCCCCTTATTCACCCAATAGAGCATGTAAAGAAGGACAGTTTTCTGGAGCAACATATTTTTTGATGACACTATAAAACCCTTGTTACTCGATGGCATACCAAACTGAGCATGTTCAGCAAAGAGAAAATATGTTGGTGACATTATTTATGCCATTTTAAAAAAAGGATGAAAATTATGTAGCACCTTGTTTCACAAATACCCATCATGAAAAAATTATTACATGCTACTTGTTATATGGTTCTTTTATGGCTTTTTTCCTTGCACGAAGTGCTAACTACTCTCCATATAAAACAAACACTGAGTTTACACTCAGTGGTATATCTAGGGCACTTGTAATGGGGGTGGGGGAGAGAGATAATGGGGACGTGTATGTGAAATGCAGGCCTCGATGATTAGGTGAAAGGGCGGCTAGCTCGAAAAATAAGGGGACTTAATTTGTAGATACTTAAAGCCTTTTTTTTTTTGTGGGGAGAGGAGATTTCGCACCCAAGATACGCCACTCAGTTTCCTCCAAACAAAGCTATCCTCAACCAAAACCATGATCCCTGGATGTTAATTAGTTAGCACTTTATTAACTTTGACACCATTCCATTTGTTTTTCAACTAAAGAATACTTTGATAGACTGTACCTGGATGAAAATTAAATGGCATTCTATTTACATTAACAAAATGTCTTTTGTTTACAAAGTGCAATAATTAAATGTGGTTGTGTTGTTAAGTGCAGCGCAATGTTTGTTCCCAACATTAGTGACATTCCCCAATGAAATGTACACTTAATTTGTTCCATAATCAGTTTAGATAAGACCCATCATCAAATTTTAATGAGCCGATGCACCACACAGATCAAGATTGATTTGTTGTCCCACACTTAGTATGAAATATGTAACAATATGTCAATAGTAAGTAGTCTCAGTAATTTTAAATTAAGAAACCCGAATAAATTCTCAACAATAGAATACAATGTTTACAAAAGTACTGACTTGCACAATATGAATGATACATGCAAAAATGATTACAGCTGAAAACACAAATGCAATTGATTTTACAGATGAAAAATATGTTTGCATAGTATGAAAAAAAAAAATTATATTGGAAGTATATTTAGTTAGATAAACACAAAAAAGTCAAAATTATGTTTTTACAGTTACAGCCACGGTTACACAAGAATGAAACCTACCGATGTTTCCTGACCACAGAGGCTGTTTGATGATTGCTAAGGGTGATAGAAGCAACAAAAAGAGTAAGAGAGCAACAAGACAACAGAGATTGCAACAAGGAAAATTACAACATATGAAGAATATGACAACAAAAAGATTCAATTCCAAAAAACGAACATGATGACTTTAAAAGCAAACACCATCACATTATAAGCCAACTTCAATTAGGAACAATTAATTCCATCAGGAATAAGTAATTCCATAAGGAATAAGTCAATCCATCAGGAACAAGACATCCAATTGTGAATGTCAATTTATCAGGGATAAGTCATGTTCTTTTCCCTTGAGTGTGAAAGAAAAACTGATACATTTGTAAAGGCTAAGGCATGTTAAACAAAATTGAGATAATAATAATAATAATAATAATAATAATAATAATTGAGATGGAATATGTTTTTCTCATAATGACTTGGAAGATGAGCTGGTTTCACAATACATGTTCATCTGGTCAACAGAATGTATAAAAAAAAATGTTTGTTTTCTGTCAGAAAAAGGACAAATGGTAAACACTTTGAATTAATATATATATATAGAGATATATATACTTATATGCTTTAATACTCCATGACTCATCAAATAAAAATGTCTATTTAAATTGAAAAAGAAACAATCATAAAAAAGAAAAATATATTCTGCAATCTGCACCTCAGTGAGGAATATTGTAGAATAAAATTTAATGACAGTGGAGCTCAAATGCCACATAAATCACAATATTAACTGCATTTCATAAAGCTCCAAACAATTGGTTAAAATACTGAAGGAAAAAAACCAAAAGGTTTAATAAGAAATCTCTAAGCACTAAGGATATGGAAATGTCTAGCCTATAGAGGGCCTCCTATAAGTTATTAAATAATTGTATAGAATTGTGTAAAAATCAGATTACATCATCATGCATTTAAATAATGCATCGTGCAATGCTATTGGACAGTTAAGAATTCTTTATCTAATCACTGCTCGTACTATATGCTTTGCGATCTAATACATGCATATTATAATTACAGTACCAATAACTTATTAAAAGGATTATTTTAAAGATAGGCATTTACAGTGGATATGATGCAGATCACATCAACCACAAGGGTGTGTATTTCACAACCAAACTGAATTTTGCGAGTTTTAATTGTAAATTTTAACAATTGCCACTCTCTTTTATCATACTCTCTATCGGTTACTAATAATATTAGTAAAATTTTAAAGAGGATCACAACATGCAATGAAGTTAAGAATATTAAGAATTTAATTAAGTGTGGTTAGAATAAAGCTAAGTACTTTAAGGGCAATTTCACTGCAGTAGTATTAATACATTATATGCGCTGATGTAATCATGCTGTTAATAAATATAAGAAATAAGAAACATGGTTTAAAGTATAGTCGAACCTCCCATTGATGTACACTACAGTGCCAAGTACAGTGGAAATGATGTAGGTCAACCCTAGGTCAAATTCCAAATTTGTTCTATATTACACACAATATTAGACAAAATATTATTCTGTTATAAGGAAATTTGCAGTAGCCACAATTGAGACTGTATTTACATTTGAAAAATGATTAGTTAAATTATAAAAACTAATTGAGGATCTGTGATTTGTTGATGCTTTGTTTACTTCATTTACCTAAACCATACCATAAACCATACCAAAGCTTATAAAGCTGAACATATTTAAACACTGTACAAAAAATATTTAATTTAAACTATAAATTTCCAATCATATTTAATTAATTTTAAAATTTTGCTAAATGTAGAATATCTTACATTAAGAAGACCACTCAAACATACTAGATTTACTTTGGATCTATAAGTAAATATGAGCTTAAATTTTTATAATTTAAAGTTATCATTTTATTTAAATGTCATCTTGACTACTCTACAAATTTTGATTAGAACATTTAGAACAAGGGTGGGCATAACAATGAATTACTGATTTAATACTGAGGCCCATATGCAAATTTTATGGTGAAAACCTGATGTTTAAAGTATTCTGGTTAAATCTTCATGCACTGATTCTACACCTCTTTATGCTCAGTTTAATTACTTTTTAATGATAATCATCCTGGGCCATAACACAAATAAAACGGATTGTTGAAAAAGAGAGGTTCGACTATATGGAACAAATTTATAAAATTTACAAAATATATCATCACACAATAAAGTTATTAAAATGGTGAAAGTACTTAATAAAACAATCAACTGATTTTGATATAAATTTGAAAGCATATGAATGTGTAGGGACTGATTATTTGTGGTGAATAAGTGTAAATACCTTTTATTGAGTGTATTTGTTAATTATGTTTTTTTCTCATGATGTTTCTGTTATAATACTTACAGCTCCTCCCGCCTTCTTTGATTTCATGTAGGTACTGATGCAAGTAGCTGGTGCATTCTGTACACACCTTTCATGTACTGTATATTTACAAACTGAAAGAAGCAAACACAATACGGTAATGTGTTAATATGGAAACAACAATAATTTAACCTTTTAATATAGTTAACTGTTAGGAACCATTAGTCTGTATTGTAAAGGTTAAGTCATGTTGAAAAAAGTGGAATGTTTTAAAGTCATCGATAATAAAATCTTAAACAATTACATGTACAAATACAAAATCACGTAATAGTAACTTTAGTATGGAGAAACACCTCCACTCGTGATAATAAAAATGATGATGAATATTTGAGATAAACATGTCCCCATCAGTATTCAAAACCAAGACCTTCCAATTACTGTTTGGATAATCTACTACCTAAAGCTACATTTACAATAGACACGATTATGACACTATGACACAATACAGATGCGCTCAGTGTTAAAGAATACAAACTACGCGATGATATGTCGTTGTCGTGTCGTAAATGTATATATTGTAAAATGTAGCTTAAATGTGTCCTAAAAGGAAAATGCAAGGGTGTATACCATTAGCCTCACAGCTTCTTTTATTCGAATGGTAATGAAGTCTTGGGTTCGAATCCTGAAGGGACATATATTTTTCTTAAATATTTTTATTAGATTTAATTACAGAAATTTTGAAGTTGAATTCCCAAAGAGCAACCTTGAATAGATCCTGTGCATAGTGTGTGTCAATGCTGCCCTCTACCAGAATAATTATATTCTTTACCCAAGTCAATAAACTAGTACTGAAAAAGACCAACGTAAAATGGCCTGCATCTATTACAATTATGTATTTTGAAGATGTGATGCTAAATAATTGCTTAACATTTGTTTTGGCATCTTAAAAAAAATATAAATGTAATTATACCTTAAAATAGTATTCCTGACCTCTATATACATGACTTACCTTATTTGCTTGTTTTCTAATTATACCTTTTAGTTTTAGTAATAATGTCATTTTTTAAAGTGTTTTTTAGTAACTAGTAAAACAAATTTCATTGTTCACTTGTTTAAAACTGATGGCAATAAAGTATTCTTGATTCTTGAAAATTAATTATCCAAAACTAAACAACTACAAAAACCCCCGCATAAGCTCAACTCCTATTTTTATGAGATTTGTGGGTGGTGGAGGAGGAGGACCATAAAAATTCATATTTAAACTTTGTATCTAATAATTAAAGTAATATATTTATTGGTGGATGGTGTTGATGACCGTATTTAGTGGCAAAACTTAAGTTACTTAAGTCTTAGAGTATCATGCATCAATGACAACACTGTGGAAAAAGACAATGAAGCTTTTACAGTATCAGAATACAATGCATACTGTTGTGTGTGTCTGGTTGAGTGATGTTATTTTGATTTTACTGAAATTTTACATTTTTACAGCTGATATTTCACCATATTCCAAATTTGATTACAATACACTATTATAAAAACTCTGTTTTCTAATATTAATATTATGACATTTGATTAAAAGTATTTTTTCTACTGAGCAAAATTTGAGTTCATATTTGGATGGTAACTGCCTGGTTATGACAAAATGTTGGCATCATTGCCCATAAGGCCATTTGCAAGTTAAACATGTGGATTGTCTTTTCTATATCCATATAAATGCATCTTGATCAATAGTGCAAGAATAATGAAAAACAGATATTTGAATTTTGGTGAGCATGGCATTTTTATTCCTTAAATGATACTGCAAATGAAATGTTAATTATATGCACACCCTATCTCATTAATGATGTCTACAATGATTTTTAATTAACAATTATTCAGTAATATGGGTTCGTTGAATTGTTGAGGTACACTAAAAGTGACCTCTCTACTGTTTTATTTGTGCTTGCTCTCTGCTGTCAAATTATCCAAGATGCTCAACAAGTTTAACAATCATTATTGAATAAATTCATTGGATCCAAAGTCAAGTGTAAAATCAAGATGTTAAATAAATAGTGAGTAATATCTCAATTTTAAACTTGACTTTGGATCATCAAAAACAACCTCTAATACAAGTTTAACAATCACAAAAAAAAATGAAAAGAAGCATGGTAAAACTTACTATGTACATCTTTTAGTAAAAGTAAAAATGGAAATTCTATTGCAAAAAATTTGTTTTAATTTTTGATGCAAATTGTCAGTTTTAAGGGGATTTTTTTGTGCAGAAATTATATTTTGTCTGTGTATTTGATTTTCAATGCTTTTCCATATGTTAGCAAATGGTACGGAATAAGGCATTTAGAGCATATGTTCACATTTAATGACCAAATAAAACCTCTATATATTTTCAGCAAAATATGTTAATTTATATCCTGGGATACCCATTAGTATGTTCAGCTGAGGGTTTTGTTTGACCAATTACAGGAATACAATATATATATCATCTTTCCTTACAAAATACATTTTTATTGTATGCTATAAAGCTGTATCCAAATTATCAAATGGTCTTTGAAAAAAAAAAATTGTATGCCTATATATAGTCATGATGTTCTTATAATATAGATCTTATCTGTTTATTGTTTAGTGTGTCATTTTTCTATCAAACATTTTTTGCTTTGAGTTACTGCTTTATTGCATTATTTAAGTTTGCACACATTGGGTTTGGTTCTATGCAAGCTCTACTGGTGGGGGGGGGGGGATGTTTACTTTTGTAGAGTGGCTAACAACACTTGGTAACTGCAAGTAAAAATGCTACACAAGTAAGCAAGTAACAAATATATGGTGATGTGATGTTATCAAGCCCATATTTAGGTATGTTGCATAGAAATGACTTACAAGTACAGCTCAGGCCTTGTTTGCCCAAACCAACCAACAAATTTAGGCATAAATTGCAGAAAGCTGGCTTGCTAAAATGCTTCAACTTCCAAATATGATTACCATCATCTTTAACATTCTAAAAGAAATCAAAGTAACCATAAGCACATAATAATTAGTTACCATCAATTTGTGTATTATTGTTACATTGTAAAATGGAAATAAAGTTTGCATTAAGAAAATGAATAAAATTAATTATATTGTTGATAATAGGAATAAATGATGGTAATAAATATAAAGATGAGATTATCAAGATTATGATATGATATAGAATATGGTGATAATAATCTATGATGGTGATGATGATAATGATAATCATGATAATGACGATGACAATGATAAACCTAATAATGGTAATAATGATGATGATGATGATAATGATAGTAACAACACCTTTGATATTTGTATGGGATAATACTATCATTGATAACACAACTGATATTGATAATGATGAAAACAAGATTTTTTCATAATTTATTTAATTACAATGTTGATTACATTTTTTATGACTAATGTTAATTCTTTAAATTCTTATTTATAACAGGTTGACAGGTATCAACATCAGATAATCCTGCAAGACTAGACAGACAATATTAATATTGGAAGCACAAGATGGAATTTTAATGCAATTCAATGGAATTTGAAGATAAGGTTCTGACAAGGTTGAATGCTCAAGTAGCTGCAATATTGAGATTTGTGACAATAGCAGCCATACTGTATATATAGCCTTGGCTAGGCTACAGACCATGGCTGAGTAAAATTTAGTTGTCTTGATACTTATCTCAGTTATTCAATCCAATAAAAACTACATACATGGTAGCACATGGCAGATTAAATGTTTATGTTAACTATACATCGATCAATTTCTATTTTATATATGACACTAAAATATACATTTGTAACTGTTATTGAAACTACATAAATATGTATACATATATATATATTGAAGAGCGGGTTTGCATGTATGCTCCAAGTGAAATTAACTGCAAAAGCAATGAAAAAACGGTGTACAATTATTGAAAGTTGACTTGCGGAACACAAATTTATTAAGGTATAACAAAATCAAACGGATATTTCGATAGTTCCTGCTATCTTCATCAACGTTAAAGTGTTATTACACTATGTAATAAACAGATCTTTACACAAAATCATCTCATTAATCTCATGTTTAGATAAACAAGAGTAATTTGGAAAAATTCAATTGATGGAAAGCGATACTAACTATTTCATATATATATATGAAATAGTTAGTATCGCTTTCCATCAATTGAATTTTTCCAAATTTCAATTTTTAGGTGAAAAGTATAATTGAGTCAAAAAAATTAAAAAGAATTAAAAACTGTTTCAAATATGTTTAGTTAACTTTGAAAGGCAAACTATGGCCAAATGAAATTAATTGTTAGTTTCATATCTAGGAAATTTTTATATTTCCTATTTACTATCCTGTATAATAGTGGTACAGGCTGGGGAAAAATAAAATTATTTTTTTTACAAAAGTAAAATTAATCTTTGTAATGTATTCCATTTTCTTCTTTGGGTTTGACAAAAATCTTTCAGATTGTCATTATTAATACTTTCCATTTTTTTAAAATAGCAAATAGTAAATTTTTTTTATGAGGCTCCAAAACTTGTTAAGGACAGTGAGGTGAAACTACCAAATTGTATTTAGCTTAAACCTACTTACTTAGGGAAACATCCCACTTATGTCTTGGTGTTTGTGTTATCTAATGTTACATGTCTGAAATAGACATATGTTTTGATACGAATTTAAGATGATGGAGGAGGTGGTGAGTGTGGAGTATCAAAGACTTACTGTATCAAGGCCAAGTAGGACCAACAAAGGTATAGTAGAAGTACCACCACGAATCCACTCCTCTAAAGACACATACCCATCAGAATCAAAATCAATCTCAATCATCATATCTTGTAAAATCTATCAAAAGAAGTCAAGTGTGTTAGGTTAGTTATAGTATGTTTATTTTAACGATTCAAAATAAAACATGTTTACTTCAACCAATCAATTAAAAGCTCTTATCAAAAGAAATCAGATCAAGTATGCCAGGTCAGTTATTTTAAGTTTATTTTCAACCAATCAAACTAAAACATATAATTATTTTAAGCAATCGATTTAAAGCTCTTATAATAAATTATGGGATATCATGTGGACATACCGGTCTGAGTTCAGTCACATCCCATCCTAAGTATTCAGCAACATGCATCATTTGGTTCACAATACAATCAAGCTCCTGATGAAGTAAAAAGACAAAATTATTTAAATTATAAATTCTTTTTAGAAAATATAACACAAATAATTACAAATGGTTAAGATGATGAGGAAGATAATGATGATGATTATGAAGTTGTAGTGCTGATGTGACAATTCTGTGAATACAATGATGATGATTATGATGAAGTTGTTCATTATGATGGATTGCATTGGATTGGATTTATTCGGTGTAAACACCAAGGATAGCCCACGAAAGTCTAGAAGAAGACTTATTTCCAGTGGGGTCCTTCTGGTGGTGATTGGGCAGTACACCGGGAGACAAACCCCTACTCTTTTCCGAAGAGTGTTCTGTGTTCTTTAACATGCACATGGGCCATAAATGCATAGGGACCAACGGCTTAAACGTGTCATCCGAAAGACGGTGCGCTATAGTAACTTGTATTTCAGCCCTCTAGCTGAAACACAAGGAGAGGCAGCAATGGGAATTGAACCGGGGACCTAGAAATCTCCATGGTTCAGCGCACACACAGAGGCTACCACAAGATTAGCCGACTGAGCTAAGCTGCTCTCACGATGATAATGACGAGAAAGAAGCCAATGTGAAGATGATAACGGAAAAGGGTAATGATGATGGTGCTGGTACGGATAATAGTGGTGATGATAATAACGAAGATGATAATGGCAATGATGATGATGATAATAATGTCAATCATTATATGACTATTATTATTATTATTAGCCATTCAATATTAATAATAATAATGAATAATGAATAATGCAACTTGAGGTAACAGTAAAAATGTCATGTCAGGAATAAAATGAAAACAACTTACAGTGCTATCAAGAATTCCATTACCATCAGTGTCATACAGGCGGAACATAACTGAAATAAAACAAAGTAATACAACAGATATTAAACTTTTACTTTTACTTTGATACTTGGCACTGTACCCGTTATTTTTGATTTTATTAATGTTTTTATGACTTTTATGCTTACTTTTTTAATGTACTCTGACAATTATTAATTTTACCTTGTATTATTGAAATAAAAATTAATTTGAATGAATTTTTCTCAAATTCTTACCACAAGACATATTTGTGGAACAATGCTACAGAAATAAGAAGGTAATTTTTTACTATGGGATACAGTCCACAAATAAAGAAAATTTGAGTATTATTTGAGTAGTCTAATGGAGGGTAAAGGGACACTTGAAAGGTTTTAGGACTAAGGATGCACCAGACATGATATTGATCTATGGCACACAGGTTAAAATCACTAGCAAGTTAGGCTGCAGGAAATATTGGCACCCGTTCAGGAAATTTAGCAGGGAGAGCACCAAATTTAGGGAGGGTACAAGTAGGCCAAATTTACTGGGGGGACTGAAATTTCTGTGACACCATAAATAATTTGGGCAAAAGCTACCAAAAATACTAACTCATTTTACATGACTGAGACAAAAGGTAATAATGTCCAACATTGAGTAATGTCAGATTCATAATTCCAATTACTACAGCATTTAACAATGTCAGAATTCCATGTTGAAACTACTCGGTGATAAATACAGAACGCATAATTGCACGTCACTACAGCATGGCATAAATGCCAGCATGGTTTAACACCCAAATGTTTTTTGAACCACAAATCCTATTGCATTGTAAAATATTTTAATTAATGTTACATGCGCTCATTAAGAGACTGAAATGTTGACATTAATGTAACTCATTCTATTTGCTCAAATTTGAATGGAACTCTTTTGTTGTCAGTCAATGGCGAGCATTGATAAAGTAAGTGATTTTAAGTGCCACGGCTAGAGTCCACTTGCAGGAACGTAAACAGAATATCATATTAGATACAGTAGATATCAATGTTAATTTGCTTAATTTAAAATCACACAAGTACTTACTTAGGTTCTACGCACTGAAATAGCATTTCATATACATGTTACTTAAGTTGTAAGCATTAACAGTGCATTCCATTCACTTAAGTGTATCTTCTTGCACACAAACAACCATGGATATCAGTGCTTAAAAGTGTGTGGTTCATGTGCAAGTGTATGAATATGTCTAGTGTACAACATAGTAGGCCTACAAACCCTAGCCAGCATATGGCTTAAGGCCTGTTTATACTTCAATGATAAAGATAACGATAAAAAAGCTAAAAAGCGATTGTTCATATAGAAAATAAAAGAAATAAGATATTTTTTTACACTAGGACGATTTGTTGTGTATACGATAACAAAATATTTTAACAAATCAGGTGACGTCATAATCATGAAAAAACGATAAAATCATTGCTAATACTACGATTTTAATGTTTTTCCATGGTTATGACATCATCCAAATTTAATTTGTCAAAATATGTTATCACATAACTAATAAACACTAGATCGAATAGTTCTAGTGTAAAAACTTCTCTTATTTTCTATATGAACAATTGGTTTTTAGCTTTTTTATTGTTATCGTTATCGTTGAAGTATAAACAGGCCTTTACGCAGGCAACAGACTGCCTGATACTCTTTGAACAAGGGGTGTTCACATTGCTGAGCCCTACATGTTAATATGCATTTTTTTTTTTTTTTTTTAAGGATCTGAATTTATATGGCACTGGTATCATTATTTCTATTGTCACTGGATACCGAGTTGGCCAACTGGCACATTTTGTACAACTTTTACTTCCCTTGAGGAGTATCCCTAGTCATGCTGCTTTACACGCACAACCCATACGTACAATGCCATACCATCCTACCAGGTACCCATTATTACTCCTGGGTGGAGAGAGGCACACGGAAGCCCAAGGCAAACCTGCCAACCCTTGGTTCATGAAAATCTGGAGAGTTTTTTTAAGAATCTTAAAACTACAAATCATTGGCCGTTGGTGGCGACATTCGAATTGAAAATACATTTTTGTTGTGAGTAGTGAAAATGAATACTTTCACTCAATATTACGTTCACACAAGTTACAAGAATAAAAATATTTCCTGATCAATTAAAGGTAAATTAAATAAATAAATACCTAGGATTTGCATTTACTCTTAAATTTCTGCCAGCAAATTTAAAGTGCGTTTCATGTAGAAGTGTTTGGCGCAACGGTTGTAGATCGGACTTTTCAACTTTTAGGTCTGGGGAGGCTTCATGGTGAAGTCGCTTGTGTCCTTAGGCAAGACAATTTATCTATGTTTGTCTCTCTCTAACCAAAGGTATAAATGGCTTCCAGCACATGCTGGGAAGGTAAAACAGACTGGTGAGTGGAAGGATTGGAATATCCCGACAGCCTTGGACAGTCTGGTTCAAAATCCAAGGAAAGAAGACGAACATTCTGGCCTGTGAGGCCACAACTACAGGTTTCGGCTTTTACCCTATAAAATTTAAGATTTTTGTAGTAAAATGTCTTTTATTGCTGGATTCTAATCTGTGACTTAAGGAAACTGATAACTTGTACAGTATTGTTTTAATTCAGCAAATTTAAAGTTGCATTTTAATTTTTGAGGGTTTTTTTGGATGGCAGCTTTTTTAGCGAAGCGAACAAGCAAGAAAATCTGATCTGCTCATATACTTGTAATGCGAGAATAGTAAATTCTAATACTCAACAAATTTCTATTTCCTCAGTCAAATTGCCAAAACACTAAGCTGCAACATTTTCTCTGAGGTTTGCATTCTGCAATTACAGTCATACAACAGACTTGGTAATAACAAATCTTGGGTATGACCTTTTCAACGATTAGCTCTTTTAAAAAGTATGTATTTTCTTATCGTCATTTAAGCCTTTGGAATCCAACAGCCCCAGGTAGGCTTCAGAATGACCTTTCACCTTGATGTAATTATAATGCTTATATTTACTTGGTTGACGAGTACATTAAATTGAACGAATGATGCAAGAAGTAGACATTGACAATCTAACAATTATTTCACCACATATCTGTGATGTAGCGAAAATTGTAACTAACAAAATCAGAATGAATTAAGTTCAAGATCTAGATTAGTATTGCCAAGATTACGATGGCACCTAGAAGCCTAATTAATGTATGTTTTTCATTTGGTGTAAGCTAAGTGATGTGACATTAGACTTTAAGCAATATATGGTATGGACAAGCCACAATTAGATGGATTACATGAGACCATGTGACTTGTTGAGGCAACATCAAAATGTATATTAAAGACTAGACATTACCTAGAGTTTACATGATAAATCACCTTCATTACAATTACTATCATCATCAGAAAAACAAAGCTTAACCCTCATAATAATCACCATCTCATTGCCGAAAAATAAATGCATCTTAAAAAATGCCTTAAAAACCATCATCGCCATAATCATTGTTATTATTATCAATATTATCATCCATCATTTATTAATAAAAGCTTAAAAAATGCTGTTTCTAACACCACATAGTGTTTGTACTCTTCCTTAAAAAAAGAGATTTTGTTCGGTTTGAACTGGTCAAACACAACATTTTGTTTTTTAGCCTCAGCATCAATACCTCTTTTTTTTAATTTTCATGCATTTTTGACTTACATTCCAATTTATCTTCTGGTTTACCACGTTCAAGAAGTGACAGGTAGCAGACTATATCCTTCATAAAAACTACTTCGTTCTCCACATCTGGCATTGGTTCACCTGGTTGGTTGCGATGAGGGCGTGGCGCTATCTGCTCCTCTAAAGCTTCTGTTTTCTTTTTGTGTCTCTTGGCTCGTACCGAGTGGAAAAAACTTTTTTTAGCTTTACCTAAATGATAATAATTGTTTGAGTTTACAATAAACCAGTGTTTGAAATAAGGCTTGTCCGCTTGTCCCAGCCAACCGAAATGTCCCACTGGCCAAATTGTCCGTGGGACAACCAAAAATTTTGGACCCAAACCTCACCTCAAGTAATCGTTTTTTGCCTCCCAAACTTTATTGCGTTGTTGTCACTGGCGCGGCCATTTTGGATTCACTGAGTCATGTTTTCTCGCATTTTTGGTCTGAGACTTGAACTGAGGCGCCTTCTCGCGTGTTACTTATACTGTGGCGTGCCCATAGAGATATACAGTGATAAGAATACTAGAGCGCTAACCGCAATGTATTCGATGTTCGAAATACGCAGAACTCTGTGTGTGTACCATCCAAGATGGTTGCCATAAATTTAGCCAATCAAATTTCGCTAAGCACCATCGTTTGCAATTGCGCCCTCAATTTACTCACAAAGTTCAGTACAGCTAGTTACCCCTATGTTTGAAACTCAAGCGTTGCGGTGTTTGGGTGTAATGTACACGATTTTAATTTTCATTCCTTGGTACTTTATTTTTGAATAAGATGCTCCACTTGGTCTCGTTTTGGCTACAATAGTTTAATAATTTGTTATTACCATTACTCATTATCATTAATGAAATAATAGTCAGTCAGAGGGCTTATTAATATGTAATAATATGTATACTAAGTCTGAAGGTGGCGCTTTACTACGACGTCCCCATCTTGGATGGTACACATACATAACTCTGCATTGCTGCGCCATCTTGTCAGCACTCTAGTTGTTAAATAGCTCTATGGGCGGGCCGCACAACAAGGCACTGACTCACGTATCAAGGCGAATGAGGCGCGCGTGGGAAGGCGTTCAAACTTTTCATTGAACTTTTCGTCATGTCGAACCCATGCTCTGACAGTGCTAGAAAAGCAGGAGGGAAAACAGTGCAAGGTAAAAATGAAGCAAGCAACAGATAATATACAGACATGTAAAAACATTTGCGGACAACCAAAGTTTCCATCTAGGTTGTCCGCTGGACAACTTTAAGTTTTTCCTTATTTCAAACACTGTAAACATATGGTAAACAGTATTAAAAATAGATTTACGGTACTAACAAATTTGTCATTTCAATATATATGCTAGTAGTACCGTAGATAAAATGTAAAAATATTAAATTAAGATTAAATTTCCTTTTTTGTCCAACACCAAATATTTGAAATTGTAAACACTGGCTGGCCCCTGGGAACTGGCGGCAGCCACAGTGCAGATACATTGTCCCTTATCCGGCCTAACTCTAATGCGAGGGTTATTCAAGGAGCTGAGCGATCAGACTCCTATTAAAACCTGATGCTAGCAGGGTTTTAACCGGGGTCTGCAGCACAAGTAGCAGTAACAATACCTCTCAGCCAAACACTCAGCTATGTATGCTTAAAATGTATGATCGTTAAAAACCAACAAGGATTTTTGGATTAGGCCCCTAAAGACCTGTGGAAGCCATTTTGCAGTGCCTTAAGCATCACGGTCAGTACATCAGGAGACAATCCCCTAATCTTTAATATCAGTGTACGAAATTCTCTTCCTTTCGCATAGAACCAACAGCTTAATACTGCATCCAAGAAACCAGGTAAAGGGCCTCACCAGGTGTCAATCAAACTTACCTATGGACCAATCAGAACAGAGCCCCTGTCCCTTAGCAACAATATCCAAGGGGTGGGGCTTAGTGGAAAAGGTACACTAGAGCAAAATGTCACCCAAAAAACACAAGCAAGGGCAGAATTGGCAGGTTTCAAACTTGCTCTCTCTTTCTCTCGCTGCACTTATGTACCGTATAAACTTGCATATAAGACGAGGCTTAAAATAGCAAATTACGTTCGAAAAACTGGGGTCATCTTATACAAGCGAAATACAAATCTTAGCTTTTTAAAATCATGTTCATCTTTTGTGCAGAACGTCCGTAACGCACAATTTACTACGAATAGCTACTAAAAAGTTAGTATGAATGAACGCGATTTTAAATACCGAGAAGATTTTGTAGAACATCTAAAATCAAAAAATCAAAAATATGAATTCTGACAGCGGAACAGGGGTTGCCTTATATGCCTGACATACAAAAATCGAGGGTCGTCTTAAGTAGGTCACCTTATACGCGGGTATATACGGTACAACGAACATACATTCAACAAACTTAGTCATCAATTTCTTGTTATAACATAACAATAAATGTATGTTGTATATAAAATGTTTCATCTCTTACCCTTCTTTTCAGCGTCACCTGCTTTACCATCGCCCCCTTGCAAGGTGTGTTCATGGTGCACTGATGTGGTACCATTCGATGCATTGGACTTCTTTGAGGAGCTTCTTGAATGCGATACTGCTGGGTCCCCAATAGCTGATCCTTCTAGTGGGGGGAGAAATCTGACATTAATTTCATTCAAGATCGAATGTTAAACATATTTACTGATTTGGGATTGCTCAAGCACAAAAAACATACAATGATACATTTATTGTAATCCCAAATGTTGTGGAAATGGAACATTATTATTAGGCAACTGTTTTCATGATAACAATAAAAGCATTTTCATATTTAAATTTTTAACAAAGATTCCACGATATTAAACCCAAGCTCTGGAGGAAAAACATGATATGTACAACTGATTTTTCTAAGACAGAAAAAAAATTTGATGACAAACTAGGAAGTGATTAATAAAATACAGACTTTAAAAATGGGATGGATAAGGGAAAACACCACCATTTTCCACCAATTTTTTTTAATATTTAAAAATCTGTATCGCATTAACCACTTTTGTCAAATATGCTTTCTGTGTCTTAAAAAAAATCAGTTCAAAAAATGCTTTTCCCTCCAGAGTCTGACTTTAACATTTAAACACATAATATTTAAAGAGTCCAACATTATTTCTTTTTTATACTAGCATTCCAATTATACAGTTATGTCAATGAAATTCATGACTTCAGTTTCTAAGAGGCTTTAACCCTGTAGGCAAGGAGTTCAGTCACCCATTCCAATATCTAAAACTAGATTCCCCCGAAAGGTTGAGAATCTGCCTCCAATCAAAGGTCTGCAATCCCTATCAGTTATATTAAATTAGATCTAAAGCCATTTCAAAACAGGAAATAAAGATTTTAGGAATTGAAAGAGGATCTCTAGAATACAAATGAAACTTCACAAGAATCAAAGCAAATGTGAAATATTACAAGAAATTAACAAAATGACTTTCTTTTATGTGAAGATATTTGAAATCTACTGTACATCATGCATAATTATTAATAAAAATTATTTCAATATCGAACGATAAGAGGGAGGGGATACTATTATCCCTAGTAAGTATCTTTAAGTAAAATATTAACAATATTAAGCACAGCAATAATACAGTAGGATGTAACATGTACACTTCATATGGTGAATGTGTAAGATACACACAGGTCATGAAAGGTATTCATGAGATACACACTACATACCTGTACCTAACGAGGTACAGTACATGTGTTAACATGTTACATACCTCATGAGGTGAACACATAGTATAATGTACATTTAATGAGGTGTATACATAGTACATACCTCATGAGGTTATGGAAAGGTATTTATGAGACACACACTACATACCTAATGAGGTACATGTGTTAACATGTTACATACCTCATGAGGTGAACACATAGTATAATGTACATTTAATGAGGTGTATACATAGTACATACCTCATGAGGTTATGGAAAGGTATTAATGAGATACACACTACATACCTAATGAGGTACATGTGTTAACATGTTACATACCTCATGAGGTGAACACATAGTATAATATACATTTAATGAGGTGTATACATAGTACATACCTCATGAGGTTATGTGAGATAAACACATTTTGCACACCTCCTGAGAGGTGTACACATGGCATGTACACTTCATGAGATGTACTGTACCATACACATATCACATACCTCATCATGAGGTATCAGTCTGTAAGATGCACTCATTCTGTAATACATGAAGTATAAATGTGCGGGCTAGTCCCCACCTCAAGCACTTGAGACTTCAGTCTAAAGCGCTATATAAATCCAACCATATTACATTACATAAATGTGAGATACACACATACTATGTAACTCTTGATATGCACACATGTACATTCCACAAGAATAATGCATATTACATACAGTAAACTCATGAGGTGTGTATGTGAGATACATATTACATACCTCATGAGATGTACAGTATGTACAGACATACTGTATATGTACATTCCACAAGAACATAATCATAGTATGTACAGTACCTCATGAGGTGTGTATGTGAGATACATATTACATACCTCATGAGAGGTAGACATATAGTATGTACATTCCACAAGAAGCACACATATTACATACAGTACCTCATGAGGTGTGAATGTGAGATACATATAGTACATAACTCATGAGACATAGACGTGTACATTCCACAAGAAGCGCACATAGTACATACAGTACCTCATGAGGTGTGTATGTGAGATACATATTACATACCTCATGAGAGGTAGACATATAGTATGTACATTCCACAAGAAGCACACATATTACATACAGTACCTCATGAGGTGTGAATGTGAGATACATATAGTACATAACTCATGAGACGTAGACGTGTACATTCCACAAGAAGCACACATAGTACATACAGTACCTCATGAGGTGTGTATGTGAGATTCACATTACATAACTCATGAGATGTATACACATAGTATGAACATGCCACAAGAAGCACACATAGTACAGGTGTACAGAGTATGTATAAGATACACTCATATAGTGCATGAAGTATACGTGAGAAATACACAGTACACACACCTCATGAGATGAACACACACAGTAGTATGTTCATTTCATGAGGTACACACATATTACATACCTAATGAGGAGTACATTACTTTATAACATTACTTTCACCACTGTATAACCATACAGAATAACTTAAGAGTTCTAAGTACTCAAAATATACATAATACTTCTTCAAGTTGTACAAGCACATACTGAGGGGTAAGTCTATATTAATTTAGTAGTACTGTAGGTCTATATTATGTAGCTTTATAGCAGAAAATACTGCACTTTTATACTGTATGTGCAAATACTTTTTTAGCATTTAAGGTACTAATACTATTCACATTGAAACAACGTTGATTTTACTTCATGAATTAGGCCCTATAAAAAACATTAGTTTATCACCCTATCTAGCCTGGAAAAGCGTTAAGAGAAGGAGGCCTTTTCTTTTTCTTTTAAATTTCTTTAAATTTGCTAAAGCCTAATATCACCCCTGGGTTGTTTGCTGGTGCATTGATATTCAAAGTAAAACATGATTGAGATAATGCAAACAATATCTACTATTTAATTAACAAAATGAAAAAAAAAAAAAAAAAAAAAATAATAATAATAATAATAATAATAATTTCCCCCTCCCCCAGTACCATAGAAGACATGTGCACAAGGGCCTTACTTATCTACCAATAATTCTACTTCATATTTTTGGAGATGTCTCAGAATACATTTCATGAATATCAATACTCATATTTTCAAGATGACTATTCCTATCAGGAAGAGACCTTTGATGACCTGTAACATTGCTTCACCTCCCACTCACCACCCACCAGCTTAGTTTTATGACTGGGTGTGGTACACATCACATAATTTTAGGTCAGGTGCTTTCACCTTATGAACTTCGAATGCATTGAAGTTAACATTCTCTACCAGATTATAATTTATAACGAAAGCCAAATCACAGCATGTTTTACTTTTTTTTTTGAACTATTATTTAGAAGGGTGGTATAATAATAACAATAATAATAATAATAATAACAATAACAATAATAATAATAATAATAATAAGAGTAATAATATATAAATTTGGAAAATATTTTATAGAAGTGGCACATACCACAATGATGGTGCATCCACAGCATAAATATCCCAAATCAAAATCATTTAAACCAATGAAATCTCTTAATACAGGTACTATAGGCATATAGCACAATTTGTATATAAAACAGAGTAGCCATTCTCTGGACATAAATAAAAAGGCAAATATATATTAAGTCAAGTGTTTTCAATTCATTAACTTTAAATCTGAACTTAAAATTCTCTACCATAGGATCTTTGTTATAATAAGCCTAATCACAGCAGGTTTTACATTTTTTTTTTTGACTATTCCATTCATTCAGAGGGATATTAAAAAACCTGATAAATCTTTTAAAACATGGCAAGCAAATTCATATAAATAAGATTAAGGATGATAATAAAAATGCTTTTGTTCCTTGTGGATATGGATAAGCTTCAACAAAACATTTGAGGAATGAATATTGTCGTGAAATATCTGTCATGCATTTCAGCCCACGCAAACACTGGGGAAGGAAATGATCTTTTATTGACCTTAATTCCCAGGTCAACCGCCCACCTACTTCTTAACTGATGTTTATGTAAGCAACACAAGGCTGTAACATACAATTAGATTAGCAAAACATACTAATACTAATATTGGAAACATTTTGCTAAATTATGAAAATGATATTATCTAACAGTTTAATTTTGCTCAAATAATAAAGGACAGAATATGAATGAATAAGTTGGGAAAAACCAGAGGAATTCGAGGTTACAATGGACACTTACACATTTATATAAGCACTTGTAATGAAATAATATAATTTCTAATAAATTTTATTAAATATAATTATATTTTCTCTAACTGGATCACAAACCATCTTGCACAACAAATTTACTAATCTTGGTAACCATCAAAAATAATATACTGTACCTTTAATAATAAAATTATTAAACGAACAGGTCATTTGAAATACAGTACAATAAAATATATCCGTGTTGCAATGAAATGAAGTATATTGTACTGTATTTCTTAGGACCAGTCTCCTGTTAATAAATTTATTAATTTTAGAAGTGTTCTAGACAAACAAATTGTCAATGGACAACTTTGACATGGTTGATGGGTTTTGAAATGTGGGTGGATATGGGACAATGAATAGGAATTGAAATGTGAAAGGGGTTAAAATGGTAATTGGTGGAAGGACCTTGCAATCACTTTGACCAGAGCTATACAAAATGCAGTATTTTGGTGTGACACATGACAAGTTGTTTTCTTTCCATCTCATAAATATCATTACACATTTAATTTTTTTACATATTATATATAAAGATTGGGATAAATTTATAATAGAACTTGCATTAAGAATTATAGTATTATAATTTACATTCTGAATTTATTACCAAATTATCACTATTGTAATATATAAATGTAATGTATTCTAAATTGCATTATCATTTACTAAAATTTCAACAGAATCTTGTCATGTTTCATCAAGATGGGAGGTTAGACAAGTAAGCAATGATCAATTAGTTA